AAAGCAGGCCATTGTTAAAACCAATATCTGTGCTTATGTATTTTTTTCTAGCTTATGAAGTGACTTAATATTTTAAGAATGTTTGCTTTAATTTTATTTTTTGTCTACTTGTGTTTATTCTACAAAATTGAGTTATACTAACAGACTTTGGTGTTAATGTCTGCTTCCAATCAACCAAAATGAATAATTTTGTCATCTTTGTATTAGAATAGCAAAATTAGATGCACTCCTTTCATCCTATTTTGATGCAACAGATAGGGTTAAGGCTCTGGAGCCATTTTAAGTTGTACTTTAAGAACAACAAAGGCAAAATAGCTTATTTTTATTAGGAATTGATATTTAACAATTAATCTTTTATAATAGTTTTCCCCAGTAAGCCAAGGTAATTGTAGCATCTGCATATCTTGCCACACAGTGAAGCAACGTAATGGTATGATTGAATCGGTGCTGCATCATTTAACATGACAATCAGCAACTCATAATGTGGGGAAATATATCTGCATGTTATACAAATTGGTGGTAGCCCTATCAAATCTTTACTTTACGATACAAACAGCTTAATATGATGATGCAAGTGGGTTTTTATGTGGCCTTGTTTCTTCTTATCCAATTAAAAATAAAGGGAGATCCAGAATACAACATGATAGGGCTAAAACTGTAGCTGTTTGTTCTTCTTTGCATTCCCTGTAGAGTAATTAGACCTCCATGCATCCTTAATCCAGAATATTCCATTGCAGGGAAACTTTAAGCTATTTAAAACTATGTATGGAAGGTTTAGCTTTCAATATCAGCAGATGACTTAGTCACCTTTGGCTCAGTCTGAAGGAACACAGACATGTTTCAGTTATAAAGCTCCTAGAAGCTTTTAACAGCTTGTATCTTTCCCTTGATTTCATTTATACACACGTCACTGATAATGCGAATAGCTGTGTTCTAGTGTTCTTCGCTTGGTAACAACAAAACCTTTGGCAGAGACTCCTGTTAGAGCTTAGCTGTGGTGCATTCACAAACTAGGGGGTTCATTGAGGCATAAAATCCTTCAACATCAGTTACAAGCCGGTTTCTCTGTGCATCTCTTATTTCTGTTGGGTTTTTTTCATCTATTTTTAATGATGTATCTTTTCTTCTGTTTGTTTGAGGTTTCAATAATATGTGCTTGTTAGTTTGTTTTTTTTTTCCATACAGTTATTCTTGATAAATAAGCAGTGAAATTTCACACACGTCCGCAGTTTCTTTCAGCTTCATAAAAGTGTCTGCTGTTATTGTGAAATTCCTTGTTTTATTTTAGAAATGAAAACACTTTAATGAATCACAGTCTTTCTTTTTTTTTGTAGGTTTTCATATTTTTTTGTTATAACTCACATAACCAAAACCCTGTGGTGCACAGCTCAAATTTAAGACGTTAAATATTGTTTTCATTTGTTTTTATCATTAAAAGGAAAACAGATTTCTATTTTATCTGCAAAAACCCAGTGAAGCTGCGTTACAGAAGATAATGCCGTATCTAATTACAAGGATGTGGATGATTTGTTCTTGAGATGAATGTTGCAGCTGATGTTATTAAATCTGAGCACAATGACTGGTAAATCAAACAAATCACCTGTTAAACATTCCCTGTTGATTAATCCAAGTAATGCTGTTGAAATAGCGATATCTTTGTAAACCAGAAGCAGTGCTTGTATTCACGATGGCAACAACAAAGAGAGAAAAATGTGTTGTGTGTGCCAATTAATTATTTCCTAAAACTCAGCAACAATAAACTGCAAGACTGGGGTTCAGTACTCACTTAATTTGCAGCAGGTCAAAATAATTTGTCGTAACATGTTTTATTTAAAATGCAGTGTAACACAATAAAAATGTGCCAGCTGCATGCATTGCTTCCATGCCAAAAGGAGAGCTGGCTTTTCATTTGTTAATGAAGAGACATAAATAGTTTAAATAATCAAAGATTTCTCCTTTGAATTGAACTTTTGAGTCTCTGTGAATCTGAAATATGACAAAGTTTATCATTTCGCTTTGAAAACACCTGGGGGAAAATCCTTTTTGTGTTATTCATACATAAATGTATTAGATATGCTCCAAATATAGCACTGCACACTCTTTGCTGATCATAAGGAATAATTAGGAAGAATTCATTGAAGGTGCATAGTATTTAGCTTTAAATATGAAAAAAATCAGGAAAACTGAGTACAGAATTATTTAATGTAGCATAAACCTAAAAACAATATTCTCTTATAACATTTTTATTATTTTTCTGTCACTGGGGTTGTGATGGACCAACTTCCCGCCACTCTGGGAATATTGACATTTAAACGCAGAATAATCCGCAGTCTTTGGCAAACGGCAAATTTGCATTCCTTTTTAGGAAATAGTACCCTTCTGTAAAGGTTCAGTGACAGTCCAGAAGAGAAGTGGACATAAATAGTCATGATAAGACACTATTTGTATGTAAATGAAGAAGGCACAGAATTTTGAAGTAGTTTCCAAGCAGCAGAAGCAGGAGAAGGGGGTTGTTCATAGAAACATAGCTGAGTGTTACATTTCAAGAGATCCAGATAAATAGGAAGTTAGACTCAAATTTTTAAATATAAATGCATCAGTATAAACATTTTGCAAAAATGAATGTCTGGACTGAGCCTGAATATTACCTAAATAAGTAAATAAATTGTTAAACACAAAAAGAATTGTAAAACTGAAAAAATCAAATAAAAGATGAGTTCAAACATTAAGTTGTTCAACCATCAGTTCAACTGTGAGCTTTTTTTCTTTATTTCTGGACAGAATCAATAGTATTTTTAAAATTTCTGTTATATGAAAAAGAGTTTATCTCTTTAAAAGATGTTTTATTGTTTTACCAATAATTATTATCCAAAATATTTCAGCTAAATACCATAAAAAACAGATATATTGTAGTGTATTACCCTAAAGTAATAAAAGTCATTAAAAGTGTAACCAACAATAGTTCATCTGGCCCATTTATTTAGAAATTCAATCAGACTGCTGGTTTCTTATTCTGCAGATTTTTTTTTTCTCTTTGCTGCTGCTCATCTGCCTGAGATGCAGATTGAAGCTGATCTAAAAGATCTAAAACTATAAAGCTTGAAAAAGTCAACAAGCTTGTTTCAGCTGCAAACACATTAAACATTTAACATCAGATGAATGTCTGATGCCATTAAATATTTTGATGGACTCACAGAGTCACTTTTATTTCTTTGAAATCCTTTCTTTTTTTGCATCAGTGATTTATGCCCTGATTTGTTTACTGGCCCCCTCCGACCCCGGCCCTTCTCTCTTTAGGGCGATCCTAACTGAGCTTGCATCACTGTGTTTATAATTTGCTACAACAATCCCTCAGAGCGCCTTCAATTAAACCGATTTAATGAGCCGTTTTAAAGATTAATTTCCCATTGACGGGTAAATAAAGTAAGAAAAGGGCTCTTGAATATTCAGAAATCCAAAATATAACAAGCCTTGTTTTAAAATGATTCTTCAAGGAAAATCCCTAAACTATTTTCGTATGATAAGTTTGCAGTGAAAAAGTAGCCATTATTGTCTCTAGGAAACGTTAATGGGCTGCGACTTCTTCCTCGTTTGACCTGAAGTAACCATTAAAGATGCTCATCTGCATTTTTTTTTTTATGTTACCTATAAAGCCAGAAAAACATTTTTTAACAAAGGGTTTTCACCACACTGTCTATTTAGCTACGTGTCTGATTGAACACAGACACATGATTAAACTGATCATTCATCAAAGATTTGTTTATGATTTGGATCATGGAATGCCTCTGTACACCTTCTCTATAAAAATGTGATCTGTAATCGATTTTCTTATGGTTGCTCTATGTTATTATAAATTCTATATATTTTTTTGTTCTTCCCGTTGTCATATCTCCTATCTCCTTGAAGTTAATGGACTTTACATCACATTGATTTGTACTAAAGGGTTAGATATCCTCAAGCGTCTGGCTAATGGGCCTTTCTAGATATCCTGATTGGGAGAGTAAATGGAATACTTGAGAGCAAAGAGGTGTCAAGGTTAGTCTTTAATTCTGATTTGGTTCTATGTTTTTCCTCTATTTATTTGAGCGTAGAGGGGATTTGAATCACCAACATTTTCCTCCCAAGCAGAAACATTTAATGTTCACATATAGGGGGTAAACTGATCTGAAAACTGATGTTTCTCTGTCTCATTAAATGCCTTCCGAGAAATATTTCTCTCCAAGAGGTAAGACTTTAACTGGACTAAACCTGAACTTCCTTCTGTTTTGCTGTTCCTGAGTGCATTTTGAGTCATTTCTGCATGATTGCTTTTACTATTTGCTTTTTTTTTTTTTTTTTTTTTTTTTCACTGCAGTAGTCGTACATTTTGCTTTATTATCCATCCTTTGATCATTTGACATAGTGGTACTATAGGCTTTTATCATTTTAAATCCCTTGTGTTGTGTGCATTTTGTAAATCACACTCCAATCTTGCTTTGATGGCGCAATGATGGTATTTTTTTTTAAGCAGAGCTGCAAAAACATACGATTTAAGTTTTTTCTTCAGCTTTAACAATAAAAGAGGGTTTGAAAACTGAAAAAAAGCAAATAGGATATCAGTGTTTTCTGGTCTTTTAAATAGGCCATCCATTTGGATTTCCAGATCGTTTTCTGTTTCTTGTTGACTGAGTGCATAAATCCATGCATTTATCCATTCAGTCGTGTTTTGTTTTTTTTGTAGATATTGCATTTAAAACTATAGGAACACTAGAATAAAATTAAGAATATGTATATTCAATGAATATATTAATATATTCCATGAATATATAAAGTATTCTTATAATGTGTTGGAATTTGAATACCTAGTTTCCCCATCAGTTAAAATTTCAGCTCTATCATAAAATCTTTGAAATATTTGCAGCTTTGTGATTTGTGTTTTTTATAGAGCACTTTTCCATATTTTTCAGAATTTGTTTTTGTGTTTCTATAATCCTCTGTCTCTTTTCTTTGTTTTTGCACAGTTGATCAGAGTTTGTTTGAGAACTCCAATGCCCATAAGCAGAGCCCTCAGACCTCCAGGACAGGTCAACCCTCCAACCGACGCTCCTCTACATCAGCTAATTCCAATTCTGGCTCCACCTTGGTTGACACTCCATCCTCTGGTGGACAGCAAAGGCTGAAAAATGCTATTAACTTGGGCAAGGCAGTTGGTGCAAAGGTTAGTGCATCATAAGCTGATTTGTAGTATTGCCCTGCAGGTTCTCAAACATACCCAGTTAACTTATTCGTCCCACATATGTGAATTTATTGTTTCCTTAAGGTCAATGACCTGCTGAGGAGAAAGGAACCCAGCCACCTAGGGGACATCGGGGTCACTGAGGTCAATAAGAATGTCGGTGCTGTTTGGAGCTGCATGGACCAACTTGGTCACAATTCCACCAGCAGGTGTGAAAATATACCTTCACAAATTTATATTCATCACCTGAATTTGTTCAACTTTAATTTTTTCAGTCACTTGCATCCCAGTTTACAGTTTGAATATAATTTTAAAATAGAGAATTTTTTTTATCTGAATGTATGTCTGGCACTTCATTCAGATCTACCATGTGACATCCCTCTGAACTTCCTTCTTAATAATAATTAAAATAATAAAATGAAATATTACTTTATTATTTTGATTATTATTATTAAGGAAAACCAGCTGAGTGCATCCATTAATTGATTTGCAGGACAAGCTTCTTCTGGATGAGTTTGTGCGACAATGTTAACTGGTATTTTATCACAAAGTTGGTTAAAGCTAGTATGTGCAAAATCCCTCCTTGGCAGGTACCAACTGATGCACTGTCAGGAAAAAAATTTTTTTATCACACATCTACAGTTTCTTTCAGCTTCATAAAAGTGTCTGCTGTTATTTTGCAATTCCTTGTTTTTTTAGAAATGAAAAGACTTTAATGAATCCCAGGCTTTCTTTTTTTTTTTTATAGGTTTTCATATTTTTTTGTTGTCTTACATAACCAAAACCCTTGACTTAAGGACCAGAGTGGTCCACAGCTCAAATTTAAGACTTTAAATATTATTTTTATTTTGTTTTTATCATTAAAAGGGAAACGTATTTCTATTTTATCTACAAAAACCCAGTGAAGCTGCGTTACAGAAGATTATGCCGTTTCTAATTACAAGGATGTGGATGAGTTTGTGGGACAATCTTAACTGGTATTTTATCAAAAAGACTGCAAAGTTGGTTTAAGCTAGTATGTGCAAAATCCCTCCTTGGCAGGTAGCAACTGATGCACAGTCAGGAAAAAAAAAATTTCTTTTTAGATATGATTTTTTTGGAAACTGGATACCAAATGATGATCATCTATCATCCGCTTCACTTATATAAGAATGAATCAGCCCCACCTCTCAACAGAAAATGTATCTTTACTTTTAGCTTTTAAGAAACAAAACACTTGGAACTAAGTCTTAACTTTAAGAAAATCTTTCCAAAAATGCGCTTTTTAAAATGAGATTTCTTTCTATTATTTCTGCTCAACTCGTTCAAAAGTCCAGTTCCCAAAGCTCAGATCAGTTTGTTTTTGACTTTTCTTCAAAATATACGGTAACTGAATGATGAAATAAGTAACATCTTCTTCCCTCTTGAAAGCATAGAGTGGATAATTCTGGGCATTTTTCAACAGAACACTTTGTAGCTGAAGTCTGGAGACAGCAGAGAAGAACCAGACACACAGCCTAGGAAGAAACCTCTAGCAGAACCAAATCCAGGCTCAGGATGAGCAGCCATGCTCTGCGGCCAACCGGGGGCTGAGAGGACAGGAATGAATCATAGGGGAAATGTAGAACAGAGAGAAGGGAGGGATTTCTAGGGAGAAAAAACACAGAGAGAGTGAAATGATTAATGCTACAAAAACAGTTTTAAAAAAGCTTATAAATTGGCAGAGTGATGAGAGAAAGCTTTTTGCTGTGTAACTATTAATTGACTTGGCATTGTTAAGATTTGACTGTGTCTCACCTTTCTCTGGGATTCTTCATTTCATGGTCAAAGGAAAATAATGACTTAATGTTTTATTTTTCTGCATTAGCACTTTTCTGAATATTCTAACCTTTATGAATAGATGCACAAAAAAGTTTATTTCTAATGTGACTTTTTTGTGTTACCTTAAGGTATTTTGGACCAGTTGTTGTTAAATTGTCAGCTAGGGGTGAAAGTGGACTGTATATTTTGTTGTGAAATCCTTCATATTCCAATATCCCACCAGTAGGTGCATTAAAGGGTGAGTCATAGAGCAGGATATAGGTCTTCAGCTTGAAATCTGTAATGATTATACTTTGGATAAAGGGAAAACAGGCCTAAAACAGGCCAAAATTTCAACTCACCTTTAACAATTTACACTTTCAAAATAGAGTCATTTCACCCTGAGATCAGCACCCCTTCCTCTATCTATCAGTTCTATTCTTTCAGTCTAATATCATTCTCCCCCTCCTCTATTTTTAGTCACATCTTTGACTCCTTTCCCCGACTCGACCCACCACCACCGACTGGAAAGAAACGTATCCCTCGAGCTCTGAAGACGACGCGGGACATGATGATCTCCTCTGACCCCGTGGTCTCCTCGCCTGAGCAGGCAGACTCTCTGAGCCTCCTCCCCTCTCCTGACAAGACCACCCTGGGCCCTGACAACGAAATGAGGAGCGAGGAAGAGCAGCAAGAAGACAAGGAGGAGCAGGAGGAGAGGTCGACAGAAATGACACCCACACCCAATCCAGCAGAGATCAAAGCTAATTCAGAGAGCAAGGAGACGAAATCCACAGCGGATGCAGTCACAGTAGGGGAGGATGAAAAGGGGAGCCCGGAAGGAGGTGAGGAGGATCATCAGCTTCAGCTCTCTGTGCCAGACCTCATCAACAAGGAGACCCAAGCCAAACCCTGCGACGTCTGGCAGAGGGCGTCTTCACCAGACTCCCGGCTCGCCTCCTCTCCCATCTCTGGCAAGGCGCCGTGCCGCATCAGCCTCGGAGAGGAGGTCCTGCTAGGGAATGGCGCCCCCTGCAGTAAAAACACAGGAGGAAGCACTGAGGACACAGAGCCTCACCCAGACCTACTGTCCTTCGAGTAATGCAAAGCTCTTTGGATAAAGTATCCTCTGATCAGCCAACCGGCTTTACTTCAGTGAAAAGGGAACAGATTCATGAAGGGAGCAAAGCAGACTGCAGACTAAGCTTTCTACTAGACTTATAGACCATATTGTCTCTATTTGAAGTCTTTTTGACATCAAAAGAGATAAATATAATGCTTATAACAGGAAAACGACAGCTGCTTCACCATTATCACTGGCACATGATGCAAAATGAGAGAAAAAAACAAGAGCTTTTGTTTTATTGTGGTTTAAGTTATAACAAATTAATCAAACTGTTTTTTAAAAAGCTCTACCTTTGGCTTTTAAAGTTTCCTATCTGCTTTAATAATGTAACGACAACCAGATTATGTATAAATGAATGTATTTACTGCAGTGACATTGCCTTTAAATGGGTTAAAGATTTATAGATTTAAACAGAACCTTAAAACCCTTAAAATGACCACGGTAAATTTCATACCGATAAACAGCTGATATATTTAATGTTTTTTTATGTATGTTATGAAGCTGCTGCTTTGAAGCCAGTTATAGACTTAAAAAATAACATATGTTCAATAGAAATATATTTTAATTTTTTTTATTTTAAGTTAGTTGGGGAAGAGTTTAATCTTAGCGTATTTGTGGAAAATCGTTCCTAAGAAACCAAACAGTAAGTGAGAAAAGAAGGCAGAACAAAAGTATTCAATCACAGCAGGACTGCAACATGTTTTCACTGAAAGATGATAATTTCTAAATCAAGTTATTTATCTCCACTTCAGAATAATTAATAATATTTCATAAAGAGACATTTCTCTTTCAGGTATGAGCAGAATTTTGCTTTTTGGATGAGAAATATTCAGAAATAACTTTCTAAATATCAGATAAAAATATTTTTACCTCTTATTGCAAAAGTGTGAAAAGGAACAAACATATTTAAACAATGAACAGGATGTAAAGAAAGGTTCTTTATATGGAATTAATTGGAGCTCATTAACATTACTTTAACCTATAAATCTACTGCTTTTTACTCTTGTTTACCTGTAATATTTCAATGCATTCGGACATGAAAGGATAAAAGAGGTTTTCCTGTTCCCACCTGAAATATGCATGTCTTCATGTTCCCCTCCAATTCACTACAGAAAGTGGGAATAGAAAGACGTCTGCATGGAGGGTTTTTAGTAAAGTGACAAGGGGTGTTTCTGAGCTAAAGAGAGGCCAAGGTAATGAGCTGTCAACAGGAAGAGATGAAAGAGGAGCATTTTTATTCGAGCGGATCCTAAAGTGACAGACCAAAGATGGAAATTAACAACTCCATCAGATGGATGGTTTAATCAGTTGTTTTTTTGTTGTTTTTTTTTTATCTGTCAGAGGAGGAAAGAGAAGCAACACTGTGGAAAATACATGCAAAGTTGTTTTTTTTTATTTAAAAAGATGGAAAACCAAAGCTGAAGCGTTTCAGACATTCAATGCAGACAATGTCATCCATGTTTTTCCTCTTTAGACAGATGCTGACTGTTTCAGCCTGTTTTATTGTAAACTGACATTGAAAGAGAAATTATTAAGCCTTAAATCAAACCTTTGTGTCAAAGTAGGAAGATTAGTCTCTGGTTGCCGTGGTTACCTTAACACAAATCAAACACTAAGAAGTAGAAACCTGTAATTTTCTAACCCTGTAACCTGAAAGCAATCTGCAGATTTATGCTTCTCTGTTTTGAAGGCGTGGAAGTTTAAACATCCAAGATGGCTTTCAGCCAACAATTAAAAGCGAATGTCATGAATTTCCCAGATGCTGTGACCAAAGGCAGCACCAGCTGAGAATGAGAGGAATGTGGAGCTGTTCTTTATGAGGAAAAAAATAAGTTGCTTTGTCTCTTTTTTTTTTCTTTTTTTTCTGAATGTCGCTGAGGCACTGAGCTGTTACCAAGCAGCTGAGGCCTCCTCTGGATCTCAATCATGGCTAGCTTTTTCAGGGAAATCACTCAGAAAGGTGCACAGAGCCACAGATGTAGACAGAGCTCCAAAAAACAAGGAGAAGCCACTGACTTTGTGTACAATATGAAGAAGAAAAAAAAGGCAAACAAGCTTTAAAGTTAAGTGATTGCTGCTTGCAGGAGAACATGGGAGACAAGTCTTAACCTTAAGCGCTTTTTATTTTGGAACAAACTAACATTTTCTTGTAATATTTTAAGGTGACTTTTAACTGTATTTTGGAAAGGATTTGGTTCTTAAAGAAAGTATTTGAATTTTTGCTGCTTTTTCACTCCATTTTAGCCTCTTACACCTGACCAATGAATTATTAAAGTATCAAAAAAACTCTAAAAATTAAGAAATAATCCAGTATTGTGTTGGCAGCCTTATCAAAATCAGGCCCATCAAAAAATAAACAATAGTTCCCATATTTTTAACTGGATTTAAGTGTGTTTTTCAGTATGTTTTTCCAGCCCTTTCGTAATATCTTGAACTTCTCTCTCTAGTTTTTGTCATTTTATCCATGATGCTAACCACACAGATGTCTTTGATGAAAGATGGTTCTGGTTACTATTGAGTTTATTGCTCACTGGATCTTTTCTCGCTAACATCCAATCAGTATCTCCACCTCACAGTTAATACGTCCATTTAGTCATGTATAAAACCTCAATAAAGCGTTTATATATATTTTAAATTACAAGCTCAATCCTTAAGTAGGGGAAGGGTTCAAATTCCTGCAGGATTCCTGTTAAAACTGAGTTGCTCTTCTGTTTTTTTCCTTTCCTACCACTTCATGACGCTTAAGGATAATCTTTAGAATTTAAGGATAATGTTATGATGTTGTTTTTATCCATTTCTAAACCAGCAGACAGCACAGTGTTAAAACAAATCTGAATAACTTCTTAAAAAAAATACATATTTCAGCTTTTGAGCAACTAACTGAAACTCAGACATCTCATTAAATTTCAAATTTTGCTAAGATCTCAGATTTTAGTTAGCATTTTACGGCTATCTTACAGTTATGTTGCTTTTAATGCTTTAAACACATTACTAAACCTTATGAACTAAATCTTTATCTAATTAATCCAATCAGATTAAATACCACATTTTGAATTCCTCAAATTTTATAAAAGTTAAACTTAGAGCAGCTTGGAGGTTTAAAAAACAAAACCTTCTAACTGCATTTTAAACATTTCCACTGATGTAATGTGATTTTCTTCTGGTAGAAGCAGTGGAGACATAAGAAGGTACCTAGAGGTGCCAAAAAAAACTAATCTGGTGTTTAGAAAGGTTCCCAGGGTGGAAACAAAAGAAATATTGTTCACTTTTCTTTCCCCTTTGTTTTTTAATCTTTTTTTTTTGTTTAGGTGTGCACTGCATAACAAACTGCCACAGACTGGGAAAAAATATTAAAAATGAGTTTCAAATGAAAAAGTAGCAGAAAGTCTTTAGAAAAAGATTCAAAGGCACCTAAAAAGTTACAAGAAACTTAAGAAGCGCGATGATGGAAATTGAGGGAAGGTTGTTTAGTTTTAAAAAGAACAGCAGCTGGAGACTGGGTATAATGAGCATGTGTGCGGTGATGAGAAGATCCATAAAACATGAGAAGCAGAACTGCTTGTGGATCAACTGAGTAGAAATTAGAGCTCTAAAACTGATTTTACTGAGCGCTTATCAAAAAAATACATGTGTGTTTGCTGATGTTATAATTGAAATGCTTTTTAAAATTCATAGCTTAATATTAATTTGAGTTTAAAAAAATGAATTAAATTTATCATGATTTTGCATGATTGTTGTTAGGCTAGATTCTTTTAGTGAAATTACCAAAATGATTGTTTATTCTCTGTGTTTTAGTTAGTTTTTATGCCCTCTAATTTATATTAACAGACTGTCAACTAAACATAAGGGCAAAATGACACCATATGGCTGCTTATATTACCTGAACTGTTTTTTTTTTCTTCATCGTAATAGTTTTTTCTTCAAATGTCTAAAATAAACCACTAACTTAATCATTTTGTTGAAGGAACAAATTTACTGGAAGGTTTTTTTTTCCCTAACAACAAATGAAGGACTCATAGAAGGTAGATTTTTATTTAGTTATTTACTTTATTTTATTTTTATACTAATATTTTAGGTGTCTGTTTGTAAAGTGAATTGACATAATTTCAGTTTTTAATTGCTGAATGAAGGAAGCTTGATGCAACAAGTGGACACTTTTTAATGTCAAGAAACTGTTGAATGTCTAAAGCAAGCTTCTGGGTTGTTGGTTTTTTATTCCGACTGTTGCCAATCAAGTACATTTGATTTATGAAACAAAAAATGAAAGTGAATGATTTCAACTTTGTATTTTCCTAATATATGCATTTAAAAAAAGACAAATTATTTCCTACAGTTACTGTAATCTTATAAATTCTGATTTCATCTTTGGCTTCTTGTCTGTCTGCTTCATTTTTAATGACAACTTAGCTTTTTAAATGAAGAAACACCTTTTTTTCTCTAAGGTAGGACAGTAAAGGTATTTCGATGTGTCTGCTTCACACCTAAATCATATGGTTTAATCAGCTCCTCGGTATGCAGTCAGGTTACCCACAATCCTGCTAATTACCTGATTATTTAATTCAGGCATGTTGAAGCAGAGATACAGTTTAAAGGTGCAGAATATCAGACCTCCAGCAGCATAAATCTAGTCTAAACATCTACGAGACCTGTTGATAGAATCCGAAACATGAACAGTTATCCAAATGAAAGGTTTTTACCCACATAATTCATGCATTCATTAGAAAACTAAAGATGTAGATCATCTTTTTTTAATTGAATCACCACACTAAGATCGAGATTTCCGATTCGCCTGCTCAGAGTCCGGATACGAATTTAACAGAAAATCTGTGAGGGCACCTCAAGAGTTCTAATGAACATAAGAGGCCATCATATTCTGAGAGGTTTGCAGATATTTTGCAAGATACTATGAGTAAATAATGCAATGACAAAAAAGATGGTGATGTAAAACAAGTAGAAAGCTGTAATTTATGGCTTTGCAGGCATCCACCTGCATTATTGCACTTTCTTTACCTTCTAACAGATTTGTTTTTTTTAGCAAAGTTGTGGAATTGTAGAGCTAATGCCACAACTTTGTATGAGAGAAAAAGTGTCTAAAATATCAAGATCTCCTATTTCATCAAATGTCATTTTAATAGGGGTGTACTTTCTATGTCCCTCTGAGAACATCCACTGTGTTTTCACATTTCTTAAGATAAAGTCCTCTTAAGTGCTTCCTATTCATAATGGTCATTCTTTATCACAGATGGCTCCTCTTTTATTATGTCTCAATTTCTTTTTTATATC